TGTGGGTTAAAAATGGCTCAACATGCCCTCTACTAATTCAAATCATCAGTTTTTGCTAAACCTCTACTTAGTATTTTTTTTATACTGGTGCAGTGTTTTGGACTTGTGCTTTAGACGCTGTAGAAGCACCGGACTGCAATATTTACTGTGATCCCACGAACTGACAGACAAGAGCTTTAAGTGACTGTAAAATCTCCAGTGGGCTCTCTGTGTTTCCAGCATGGACACGGAGGATCTGACAGCAGCTGCTCAACGGCTCGCTGTTTCTGCAACGCTACTGTGGTCTGTCTGTCAATCACTCCGGCCGCTGTCGAGGCCACGCCCCCTAAAGTCACTATCCTTTATAGGTCTCTGATACATTTCTTACATTTGCGGAGAGGGAAGGAACTGAAGAAGAACTGAAGGGTACAGTTACACTTTAAAGGAGAACCCCACTGATTTGCAAAAAGAGTATGTCCTAAGGAAAAGGGACAGCTTCAAACAAAACAGAAAGTCAGCCATACCATAGCAATATGGTATATTCATTTTTGGTTAGGTTGAGAACCCCTGTATTAGATAACTCTGTCCATAACAAGCTGGTTTCAGGAGATTACTGCCTGCTGTTTCAGGCTGTGTTACACAGAGTAAGCCATGGGAGAAGACACGACTGTTTAGCTTTCTTCATTCCCTCTATTTTCTCTTTAATTGCTCTCAGCTGAGTAATAATAATCCTTACTGAATGACTTTCATAAAGCTGCTTTACAGTCAAGCCCCTTCAGCCACCCACCTAGACACAGATTACTGTTGGATGTTTACAGGAAATCTGCTGATGTAGAGGCTAATTCTACAAGTAATCTTATGAAATGTGCGATGGGAAAACGTTAGCTACTGCCCAAAGCTCTCTTGATTTCTGAAATTGAGCCAACTTTATAGGGTTTTGTCGTAGTGAGGTTTATATCAGTTGATTATTCAGCTGAGCGATTCAATTTTAGATTTGATTGGTAGTTACATAACAGTAAAGAGGTACATGTTAGTTAAAATGATGGTTTTATATGCGTATAGGTGATAGAACCAGATAGAATACTTTGTGTGTATTATATGGTATACATATACATACAATACGTATGACAAAAAACACTATATACATAGTATATTCACACACACACACACACACTCACACATACATACATACATATATATATACACACACACATACAATACAAAGAACATAAAATTATTCAGTACATGGCACATATTAAGTCCCATAAAACACCTGTTTTCAGTATCTGTGCCATTCAGTTCACCATCCGTTGACCGAGCTCTGATCCTGCTGTTTCTACAAACACTAATTAACCCTCTTCTTTAAGCCAGCAACGGGAGACTTATACAGGAAGCAGATTAAGGTCTTAACAAGGGGAAGTACGCTAAAGCACCTCGGCATTAATGACTTTGTTTTGTTAAACGCGCGATTAGCTTGTCCGTTGAAAGTAACCAATTAAACGTTTTAGTCAGTAAAAGCTGTCCCAACCGATTCTGCGTCTAAGCTTAATAATAGATTAGTCAACATGTATAGAATAAAAATAAATAAAGTAAAAGCAGAGAATAGTACAAAAAGGATAGGAGGTATGTCAGGTTTCCAACTTCCCACACTGTTTGAGACAGAGGAGGCCCCCCGGCCCTCGTAATGTATATAGTGCCATGTGTTGCTCCGTATTTGGATGAGTTTTTGTGTGTATCTGCGAGGATCATCACTCTGCCTTACCTTCTCTTTGGTCCTGAGCTCATCAAACATCTCCTGGATTTCTACACGCCAGTCGTCCTGCATGCTGTGGAAAGAGTCCTGGGGCATGGTGGCCATCACCGCCTCCTCGATGGCCGACAGCTGCTCCAGGATGCAGGAGAAGGAGGGACGCACGTGGGGGTCCTGGTCCCAGCACTCTGAACAAAAACACATTGCGATGTATAGATTGACACAAGTTAGTCACCAGTGTAAATATTTATTGCTTTGTTATCCACTGCAGACCAGACCTGCAACCAGTGATTGCCCAAATCAATTTATGTAAATACTGCAGTGCTATTATGGCACATACTAGTAATAATCTGTATGAACAATAAATGCTTCATCTGATACTGGAAAAAGGCTTCCAGTAATCCCAAACAACATGAGTGTTAAAAAAAGAGCCCAATGTGTATCTCCACAAAATCTGTAATGGAAAGTCTGCATTACACCCACTAGCACACACATATTGTCTAATGAAGAACAACTACTGAGTAGAAATCTTCAGGCACATTGCCATTAGCTACATAAAGAGGGTTAATGGTTTCCCTGAGGAGAAAAGGCTTAATTTTGTGTGTTACTGTTAAATATATGGTTATTTGAAGACTGATGGGTTAATTATAAAAAACCCAAGATGTCTTTAAGGAAGATAACCTTTTTGAGGCAGGTATATTTGTCCAGTTTGCAATGTAATGTCAGGGAGGTTCTTGTCTGGTGAAGGCCACAACAAATACCATAAAAATAACACAAAATGTCTATTGATTGACACGTGCAAAAACAACATAACAAAAAGAACTACCACAAACAAACATATAAAATATTGTCAGATCAATAGCATTTGCAGTTTTTACACACTGTTTCTTGTTTTGCACTGTATTTCTATCTACAGCTTCATGTACTGTTGCTTCCTTGGAATAAGATTTCTTGAGAATTATGGGACTAACAGGTTCATGTGATATTAGTTTTGAACAAATAAAAACTCTTAAACATACCAGGATTTAATCATTGTGTAAAAGTCAAAACAATAACAAAAAAGATTCTTCCGTCTGTTAATTTACCTTCCATGAGCTTGGCGAAGGGTTCGGGGCATGTGGAGGGGATTGGTAGAGTTAACTTATTAACAGCCACGCCGTAAGCAACAGCCAGGCCGTCTATCCCGCGGTAAGGTACCTCCCCCGTTAACAGCTCCCACAGCAAGACACCATACCTGATGGATGAAATAAAAAGAG